GGGGGGGGGGGGGGGTATGTCGCCCGGAGGTCTCTCCAGGGAGTGGATGTCGAGGCAAAAGCGATGGTTCCAAGAAGGAAGACAGGCTCCGAAACAGGGGAAGTGTAAAGCTTGTTATCTGATAATACATGGTGGAAATAAGTATGAAAAAAGAGATACAATAAGAATGGAAATCTTGGGGGGGGGGGGAGTCAAGATAGCATCAGAGGGAAAAGGAAAGAGGGTCACAGGGAATTCTCGACCGGTTTCAGCATTCTTCTGAAGGCCATGTCAATGGAGAGGATGCCCGGATCAAAATGTTCGGTTTTTTGATAAAAAGGAATTCCCGTGAGAATGTCCTCCAGAGTCCTCTGCCGTTTCGAAATCGACCCAAGGCGAGTCTCTTCCAGGAGAGGGAAATTTTTCTCAAATCCGCGCGAATCAAACTCGAGTTATCAAATCCACGGAAAACGTGCAAAAAATTTTAATGAGCACAATGCAACAAGAAAATTTACCGAATTTTCGGAGCAATTACAAATACCAAGCTTGATTCCGTTAATTAATCGTATGAAAATTATCAATTCAAGGGGGGAAAATAAAAAAGATCCCATAACATATACAGCCGCCAATATCTGCCTGCAATTTCGCGCAATTTCGCAGGCAAAACCGAAAGCTTGCTTATCAATATCTCTCATAAACCCTATGTATATATTTTATTTTGCTTGAGAATTCTGCTGGAGGCACTTATCTTCAGGAATTGAGACCCAAGAGCTGATCAACGAATAAACGAACAGACAGGCAAGTAAAATATTAAAAAAATGAACATTTTATATAAACATATGAAAAATGTTATTATATATTTTTTAAACAACTTCAGGGAATTCCAACAGAAATGACAGGGAGAGGGAGGGGGAGGGGGCATAACAGAACATGGTCGGGCAAAACTAGACGCCCTCTTTTTTTTTTATTAAGAGAAAAGGGTCCACGAATGAGCACACGACTTATCGTTGCGTGAATTCACGGTAGAAAAGTTCATTCCTGCGCTCCGCAGCCCTATAAAAAGGATGGCCCTCACCATTGTCAAGCAGTTCGGTCTAGCTTCCTGGTCCGAACGCGTCTCATCCTCCACAAGTTCATCATGTGGTCCTCGTTGGCTGTCTGCTTTCTTGTCGTTGCACTGGTGAGTTACTTTAAACTTGGATTCCCATTTTGCTTGTAAAATGGGATGACCTGAAAATTTCTTATTTACAGGCGGTCCAGTCTGGTCTCGCTCAGACCACAGCGAAGGCACCTAAAGCGGCCTCTAACTCGACTGGCGCAGCAGCAAGCCGTAGCCTCCTGTCTGGCTATAATGGTGGATCATCCTACAAGGCTGCATCGTATGGAGGGAATTCCTACGGGGAGTCTTCCTATGCTAAACCTGAATCGTATGCTGAACCCGTTGCGGAATACGAGCCACCCGCTGCATACGAACCTCCTCCCCAGCCCGAATACAAGCCGCCTCCACCGAAAACCATCACATACCCTGCTCCCATCAAGGTGCTGGACTGCAAGGTGG